CATTAATTTTTTACTTGATTTAATATTTCTTCTGGAAATCAGTTAGTAGTGAAAGCTGTGCTTGTACCACTAAGCTATATCCTTACTCTGGGTACTTCTAATACAAGAATGTGATATAAATTGTTATTAGGAGTTGCTACTACTATTAATGCTAATAATAATTTTGTAGAGTGGGCAGGAAATGACACAGTGCCTGTTTGCAATTTCTTCCATTCCCTGGAAAACAGATCTTGGAATATGAAGGAATGGACTGAAACATCTTATACTGCCTAGAAGGACAGCTCATGCTTATTGAATGCACTACAATGTGTTACACTTGAACTTCCCAGCTCCTATAGGAAAAAGGCACCCCTTCCTATAAGGCGTACGATCCAGTTATTAAAAAGCAGAGATCCAATCTTTGATTTGTTAATCAGTTACAAACTGTAATGAAGATAACTTGTGGTTCAGTCTCTTTAGCACAATTTTACAGCTACTTTCTGCTGCTTTTGAAAACCTATTCAGTTCTTGGTCACATGTCAGCAAAACCAAATACATTTTTCTTGGCATCTCATGCCAGAAGGTGGCACACCAGAGACTATTCACAAAAGTGTTCTGCATAATGGTCAAAACATGTTTTAATAGATCCGCCAAATGATGAAAGGTGAGATTTCCCTCATCTTCATATTTTGCATTTAACGTGCATTTGGTTGTCAGAGATAACCATGTGCTTGAATTGAAATCCTCCCTGAAGGGAAAACATGTTTTCCGTTTAACATTTTAGTTGACCCTAAGTGCCAGAGGGAACTATCCTGAAAGTGGCCTGCAGCTGAATAGGGAGTAGTTGGGTGGCAACAGTGGCATCCATCATAGTTTGCCATGTTGTCAACCATAACAATCCAATGCCACTCAAGGATATTTTTTATTATGTGGTGATGATGAACATGTTCTAGGGCTTCTTAAAATTTTTCCACTTGTGACCTCTTTCTGCCTGAGAAATTTTTACATGACCCCAGGTGTTTAGGTATATAAAATAGACATAAAAATCAATACTTTACTGATAGTAAGCCATCCCAAGTCCCTTTTGAAAGATGGTAGCAGGATATAAATAAAATTATTTATTTATTTATTTATTCTATTTATACCCTACCTTTTTCAACCCCGAAGGGGACTCAAGGAGCCTTACATACTGGTAATTATTCAATGCCTCAGAGCGACAAGCAATTCTAATGACATTTAAATTACAATTCAGATTAAAAATTAAAATTTATACATATTAAACATTGAAAACATTACATTCAATATTAAAACTTCTTCTTCTTCTTCTTATTATTATTATTAAAAAGCAACATTTGCAAGTCTTGCTAAACAAGTGGATTTTCCTTTTTGTGTGCAGCGGAATCATTTTGTGTGGATCTACTGTAAATACTGTACATTGCTGCTAACAGATTTGTGTAAATGGGTGGTATCCAGAATTTTTTTGCTATTGACAATTTTCCACGACCCCAACATTGAACTAAGGAGGCCCCATTTGGGACCAGGACCCACAGATTAAGAAGCAGTGCCCTATTCTATGGTTCTCCTGCCCTGATTTATTCACAAGAGGTTTGCCATTGCATTCATTTATGACTGAGAGAGAGCAACTTGCCCAAGGTGACCCTGTCGGTCCTGGTAGCTGAGGGAGGATTCAATTCTGGGACTAGCTCAGCATTCAACCACTATATTATATTAAATCTATAACACTGTGGTGGCACAATGAGTTAAACCCTTGTGCAGGCTGAATGGCTGACCTGAAGACCTGAAGGTCAGCCGTTCGGATCTGTGAGACGGGGCAAGCTCCCATCTGTCAGCCCCAGCTTCCCATGCAGGGACATGAGAGAAGTCTCCCACAGGATGGTAACACATCTGGGCATCCCTGGGCAACATCCTTGCAGACAGCTGATTCTTTCTCACCAGAAGCGACTTACAGTATATTCTCAATTTGCTTCTGACATAATAAAAAAAATTGAATCTTTGTAGGTGAAGCACAGCAATTGCCTTAAATTCTGGTTTTGCCACTGAAATGCACAGCCTTACTGCCCAGACAGTGCTGCTGGGGGAATACAGATGTATTTCCCTTGAGGACTATAGGTTCATTGTGCATACAGGGCATCCATATCCAACAAATTGCCTTCCCCTTTGCCTGTATGATGATGCAGCTAGAGAGCATTCACTCAAACACACACACACCCCTCTATGTATCTTTAGACTTTAATATGCCTACTCTCTTGTGTATGTGTACACACTGACACTCTGAATCATGGGCAGATGGACAACCCTGACCATGCGGATGGACGAATTCGCCAGAGAACCATAGCATGCCAACTGATTAATTAGAAATACGATCAGCATCCCTTTCCCCAGCTGCTGCAACCATAAATTCTTGCCAATTGCACTCGTTCTCAGTCTGTCTCATGCAGGACAGATATGTACAGGGAGACAATTCTTCCATAAATGAGAACCTCTGTGTGTGTGTGTGCTTGAGAAGGGGAAGGAAAGGAGTGGAAAGCAATCCCAAAATGTGATGAAGATTAAGATCGGCTGGGGAGGCTCTGCTCTCAGGTCGCGACTGGTGGGGACGAGAGACAGGGCCTTCTCAGTGGTAGCCCCTCAGCTATGGAATTCCCTCCCCAGTGACATTAGATCAGCCCCCTCCCTCCTGACTTTCATAAGGAAAGTAAAAACTTGGCTGTGGGATCGAGCTTTCGGGGAATAGTGCAGTGCAACAACAGATTTGGAATATGTGCAATGACTATGGAATGGCTTGGACCATGACTATGGATGGCGTGATTTTAATATGGAATGGAATGTTTTTAAAATGTTTAATATGTATTAATTTTAATTTAATTTTAATATTTTGGAATTGTATATGTTTTAAGGCATTGAATAATTGCCTCTATGTAAGCCACCTTGTGTCCACTTTGTGGTGGACTCAAACATGATGGAAACAACCACAGGGTAGGGTTGCGAGTTTTTCGGTCTGTACAGCCATGTTCCAGAAGCATTCTCTCCTGATAACTATGGCAGGCATCCTCAGAGGTTGTGAGGTTTGTTGGAAATTAGGCAATTGGGTTTTATATATCAGTGGAATGTTCAGGGTGGGAGAAAGAATTCTTGTCTCTTTGAGGAAAGTGTGAATGTTGCAATTGGCCACCTTGATTAGCACTAAATAGCCTTTCAGCTTCAAAGCCTGGCTGCGTCCTCCCTGGGGGAATCCTTTGTTGCGAGGTGTTAGTTGGCACTGATTGTTTCCTGTCTGAAATTCCCCTGTTTTCAGAGTGTTGTTCTTTCTTTACTGTCCTGATACTAGAGTTTTTAATACTGGTAGCCAGATTTTGTTCATTTTCATGATTTCCTCCTTTCTGTTGAAATTGTCCACATTTTTTTCCATGTCAGGAGTGACTTGAGAAACTGCAAGTCACTTCTGGTGTGAGAGAATTGGCTGTCTGCAAGGACGTTGCCCAGGGGTTGCCCGGATGTTTTGATGTTTTACCGTCCTTGTGGAAGGCTTTTCTCATGTCCCTGCATGGGGAGCTGGAGCTGACAGAGGGAGTGCATCCACACTCTCCCCGGATTTGAACCTGTGGTGCAGCTGATGGGAATGAGGGACAGAGCCATCTCAGTGGTGGCCCCTTGGCTGTGGAACTCCCTTCCCCATGACATTAGGTCAGTTTCTTCCCTCCTGTCCTTTAGAAAGAAAGTTAAGGAAGCAAGCATTTGTGGAGTAGTTGTAGTGCAATATGTCCACGTATGGGGAGCTGGAGCTGACAGAGGGGGTTTATCCGCACTCTCCCCAGATTTGAACCTTGTAGACAAAAACAGGGTTGTTGGGATTCATGACAAACCCATGCCGCCCCCAGCTCCATCTGTTGAGCCTAGAATCATAGAGTTGGAAGAGACCTCATGGGCCATCCAGTCCAACCCCCTGCCAAGAGGCAAGAAAACTGCATTCAAAGCACCACTGACAGATGGCCACCTAGCCTCTGTTTAAAAGCTTCCAAAGAAGGAGCCTCCACCACAGTCCAGGGCAGAGAGTTCCACTGCTGAACGGCTCTCACAGTCAGGAAGTTCTTTCTAATGTTCAGATGGAATCTCCTTTCTTGTAGTTTGAAACCATTGTTCGGTGTCCTAGTCTGCAGGGCAGCAGAAAACAAGCTTGCTCCCTCCTCCCTATGATTTTCTCTCACATATTAATACATGGCTATCATATCTCCTCTCAGCCTTCTTTTCTTCTTCAGCTCTTTAAACTGCTCCTCATAGGGCTTGTTCTCCAGACCCTTGATCATTTTAGTCGCCCTCCTCTGGACACATTCCAGCTTGTCAGTATCTCTCTTCAATTGTGGTGCCCAGAATTGGACACAATATTCCAGGTGTGGTCTAACCAAAGCAGAATAGAGGGGTAGCATGACTTCCCTAGATCTAGACACTATGCTCCTATTGATGCAGGCCAAAATCCCATTGGCTTTTTTTGCCGCCACATCACATTGTTGGCTCATGTTTAACTTGTTGTGCACGAGGACTCCGAAGATCTTTTTCACATGTACTGCTCTTGAGCCAGGCGTCCCCCATTCTGTATCTTTGCATTTCATTTCTTCTGCCTCAGTGGAGTATCTTGCCTCTATGTGATGTGAGAGAAAGCTGCCAGGCCCTTGGACAACTGTGGCTTCGGTGGGAGGAAATCAAGAGGGGAGGAAATGAAGGTGAATAGGAGCCTTATAAAGAGAAAGGCATGGGCCTGGATGGGAGCTCAGCAGAAGCGTCGCTCTTGGGAAGGAGGAAGGAGGCTCTGGGGAATGCGGCAAGGGTTCAGCACCTTGGACAGCGGCGTCGCCCATAGGCTTGGCTGGTGGGAGGGAGAGGCGCACAAGGACCCAGCCCAACCTCGCCTCGCGCGCCTCCCCCTCCTCCTTGCCCTTTCTCTTCCCTCCCTCCCTCCCTCCCCCATTGCCTTCCTTCCATTCTTCCCTCCCTCCCTCGCTTACCTTTCTGGATGAGCTCCTCGCTGTCAGGCTCGAAGCCCTCGCGGTGGCAGCGCCGCCAGAGGCCCGAGACGGTGGAGTTGAAGCGCCGGCCGCAGTGCGATTCCAGGACCAGGGCGGCGGGGCGCGCGGGAGGGGCCGGGGGAGAGCCCCCCGCCGCCCCCGCCGCCTTCTCCGCCGCCTTGCCTGCTTCTGCGGCCCGGGCCGGGTCCGGGGCCTGGTCCTCCTTCCCGGCGGCGGCGGCGAGGAGGGCCCTGGGCGGGCGGGCGCGGAGGGGCAGCTGCGGGATGGGCGCCGACATGGAGCCCGGCGGGTCGCTGATGGGGTGGCGCTTGTGGCCGTAGCCCCGGCAGCGCTCGCGGTGCCTCCGCGCGTCCGTCTCGTACCAGGAGTCGGTGCCGATGGCCACGGCCAGCAGGGCCAGGGCGGCGGCGGCCAGCAGCAGACCCGCGCAGCTCAGCGCCTGAGCCGCCGCCGCCATCTTGGCCGCCCCCCGCCGACGCCGCCGCCGAGGACGCCTCCACCAGCCAGCCAGCCAGCCAGAGCGCGCGCGCCCGCCCCGCCGCGCCCCCTGCAGGCCGCACGCGGGAACGCAGCGCCAGGCCCACAAGGGAACGAGCCCCAGGCCCAGCCGACCCCCCCCCCTCACTCACTCCCGCACTCACTCCCGCCCTCAGCCGCCTCAGGGGCCTCAACCAGTTGCATAAATCCCACCCATTCAGTAGGGCTACTCTAGTGAGGCACACACTGACAGGATTCAGGAGGATGCTTTCCTGGCCACTGAGGCCACTGACTTGACTTAGGCGATCCCTCCTTGTCCGAGTAGGATAGTCTTCCAGGATCAGTGTCCTGGCAGTGACTGTGGAGCCCTATTCTTGATCTGCATCTTCTCCCACAGTGAGGGCATTGGTTTTCAAGGGGAAATAGGTCTTGGTTGGGGTTGGCTTGACCAACTTTCCTCTTGGCACATTTCTCTCGTTCGCCCTCCATTCGTGCCTCTTCAAATTCTACAGCACTGCTGGTCACAGCTGACCTCCAGCCAGAGTGCTCAAGGGCCAGGGCTTTCCAGTTCTCAGTGTCTATGCCAGAGTTTTTAAGGTTGGCTTTGAGCCCATCTTTAAACCTCTTTTCCTGTCCACCAACATTTCCGTTTTCCGTTCTTGAGTTCTGAATAGAACAACTGCTTTGGGAGACGGTGGTCGGGCATCTGGACAGTGTGGCCAGTCCAGCGGAGTTGATGGTGGAAGGGCCATCACTTCAATGCTGGTGGTATTTGCTTCTTCCAGCATGCTGACATTTGTCTACTTGTCTTCCCAAGAGATTTGCAGGATTTTCCGGAGGCAGCGCTGATGGAATCGTTCCAGGAGTTGCATGTGGTGTTTGTAGACAGTCCACATCTGTATAGCAGGGTTGAGAGGACAATAGCTTTATAAATGAGCACCTTTATAAACAAGCATCCATAGGGATGTCCCAGTCCTCAAACACTCTCTGTTTCATTCAGGAAAAAAGCAGAGCTCAGGCGGTGTTGTATTTTGGTGTCAATCACAACCAGACATGGTGAAGACATCTGCCCTTGCGCTTTGGTACTCTGCTGCTGAATATGCATGGGCCCATATGGAACTCCTATCACCACGTTACAACAGTGGATGTGGCTCTTAATGAGACATGCCGTATTATCACAGGATGTCCACACCCAACACCACTGGAGAAATTACACTGCTGGTATCACACTACCTGAGGATTGCTGGCTGCTACTTCCCGGCGGATGTCAGGTGGTGTGATACCAGCTAAACAGCTATGCTCCATTTGGATATCAGCCAGCATGCAAACATCTTAAATCAAGAAATAGCTAAGATCTACAGAGATACTTGTAGGAACACCTCAGCAAATGAAAGTCCAAAAGTGGCAGGCTAAAACCCACGGTGACGAGGGAACAGGCCCCATGCCCAGGCACCCCCACCTGTCCTCCCTCAGCCACCTCAGGGGCCTCCTTACCTACCTGGCTGGCTGGCTGAGGGGCCACGAGACCTGGAGGAGGACAGAGAGGCCCTCCCCTTGGGCCCTTCAACCAGACATAGGCAAACTTCAGCCCTCCAGGTGTTTTTGACTTCAACTCCCACCATTCCCAAGCCTTAAACGAGTTGCATAAATCCCACCCATTCAGTAGATCTACTCAAGTGAGGCACAAACTAATAGGATTCAGGAGGATCCTTTCCTGGCTACTGAGGCTTCCTTCATTTCCCAGAAGCATCAAATATTTATTTGGGTTGCTGTGAGTTTTCCGTGCAGTGGGTTAAACCGCTGAGCTGCTGGTTGAAAGATTGCAAATTCAAAACCAGGGAGCAGCGTAAGCGAACCTAGCAGTTCAAAAATATGCAAATGTGAGTAGATCAATAGGTACCGCTCCGGTGGGAAGGTAACAGCGCTCCATACAGTCATGCTGGCCGCATGACCTTAGAGGTGTCTATGGACAAGGCCAGCTCTTTGGCTTAGAAATGGAGATGAGCGTCAACCCTCAGAGTAGAACACGACGGGACTTAATGTCAGGGGAAAACCTTTATCTTTTACTATGGCTATTCTATCACAACCTGAAAATGGAGTTCCAACAGCTTAAATAAAGAACTGCTTTCTAAGATCTACAGAGATACTTGCAGGAACACCTCAGCAAGTGAGAATCCAAATGTGGCAGGTTAAAACCCAGCACTTTAATCAGTGGCTGAGTCCGGATGAGAAACTCCCTCCTAGGCGCACAGAAGAGTGGATGACCTGGAAGGCACTGAACAGGCTGCGTTCTGGCACCACAAGATGCAGAGCCAACCTTAAGAAATGGAGCTACAAAGTGGAGTCCACAACATGCAAGTGCTGAGAAGAGCAAACTAGACCACTTACTACAATGAAGACTGAACCCTGCCACATACACAGTAGAGGATCTTCTCACAGCGACACTAGAGGCACTCCCAAGTGGCCAGCCTCTGGTCAAAGGACATTTAGCATCATGCAAAGTTATTTTATTAAATTTTGTTTGTGTTTTTAGATGCATTTTAACTGTACCCTCAACTCTATTCTGACACAATAAAATAAATTTTCCAGAAGCATCAGATCATAGGGCTGGAAGAGACCTAAAGGGCCACCCAGTCCAACCCGCTTCTGCTATACAGTAACTCCCCTGGCAGATGGCCATCCAGCCAGAGAAGGGGCCCAAGGCTATTATGAATTGTGGGAGTTGGAGTCTAAAACACCTGGAGGGCCCAAGTTTACCTGTCTGGTCAAGAGGCTCTTCCTAATGTTTAGGTGGAATCTCTTTACCTGCCATTTCAATCAATTTCTTTGTGTCCTAGTCTCCAGGGCAGCAGGAAAATGCTTGCTCCCTCCTCCATTTGGCAGCCCTTCCAAAATTTAAACATGGTTTTTACGTCCCCTCTCAGCGTCTCATCCACAGGCTAAACATACCCAGCTCTCTCAGCCTCTCCTCATAGGGCTTGGTTTCCAAATCTTTGATCAGTTTGATTGCCCTCCTCTGGACATGTTCCAACTTCTCAATATTCTTCTTGAATTGTGGTGCCCAGAACTGGATGCAGTGTTATTCCAAGCAAGGTCCAACTAAATCAGAATACAGTGGGACTATGACTTCCCTTGATCTTGACACTATACTCCTATTGATGCAACCTAAAATCACAATGGCTTTCTTAGCTGCCACATCATGCTTTCAGCTCATGTTCAATTATCACTTTGTGGTTTAGTCTCTCAACTTTAAAAGAGGGATCCATGAAAATGCTGAGCAGCTTGGATAACTCATTCGCAACCTGGAACAAAACACTGCACTACTTACATTGCTGTCTCTTGCCCCCCTGTGCAGTGAGGAGGCCACAGTGGGAAGAGGGCTTTAGCTTCTCTCTTCCTCTGAAGCCCCCAAAGTGGCTGCTTTTAGCTATTCCAGTTATCTTGGAATAGGACAGAGAAATGTATATGAGTTTATGTCTCCATGGGTCAATGCGGAGCTAGATTAAGACTCACTGATGCCTTACATTTGCGGGGGCGGGGGCGATTTTCCACCTTTATCCTAAGGCTGAGAGAATGCGACTTGCCCAAGGACACCCAGTGGCCTTCCATTGGGTTTGAACCCAGAACCTTACAACCCCAGTCTAAGATAAAGACTACTGCCCCACTATGGCTCATATTCTTTCATCGCAGTGGCTTCAACCAGTCTACAGTCAAATCAGGTTGTCAGAGCAGGGATTGTGTTTTGCAACTACAAGTGGAGAAGTACAATTTCCTCTGTTTTATTGCCTTTGTTCCCACTCAGCATATGGCTGTGAGGGTGGGAGCTCACTTTTTGCCTACACACACTTCCTATAGCATTCAAAGCAGAATATAGACACGATTGCTCTATTTCCCTTTTATATTTTTACCACCTCTGCCTGGTGACGAAGCCCACTAGTCAGTGTGATGTGTTTTCCATCTCTGGCTCAACCCAATAAAGGTACTGTAGGAAAAGGTAAAGCTTTCCCCTTAACATTAAGTCTAGTTGTGTCCAACTCTGGGGGGTGGTGCTCTTCTCCATTTCTTAGCCAAAGAGCTGGCGTTGTCCATAGACACCTCCAAGGTCATGTGGCCTGCATGATTTCATGGAGCACTGTTACCTTTCCACTGGAGTGGTACCTATTGATCTACTCACATTTGCATGTTTTCAAACTGCTAGGTTGGCAGAAGTTGGGACTAACAGAGAGAGCTCATGCCGCTCCCCGGATTCGATCTTGCGACCTTTTGGTAAGCAAGTTCAGCAGCTCAGTGGTTTAACCCACTGCGCCACCGGGGGCTCCAGTAATATGCTATATAAATACAAACATTTATTATTAATAATAACACTGATTGATGATAATAGTGTGCAAATTTAGGATATGACTTGCACACATATATGTATTTCTAGACTCATGAAGCAGCATTCTAGATTGTGTGCTGAATCATTCACAAGGCTGGTTCAGTGCATGCAAATTCAGCTTGGGCTGGCAAGTCAGATTACTCTCTCAGTTTTGCTAGCAAACAGTAGGCCTATCCCAAGATTACAGGTTGTCATTCTATAATTGAGATTGGAAACCTTAACTTTTATCCTTGCAGATATTTTTGGACTACATAATTAACGTGGGATAATTGATTTTAGTGTTTCTGTTTGTTCAGAGTTTATGTATGTTCCAGCATTGAATGTTTGCCGTATAAATGTTGTGCTCCGCCCTGAGTCCCCTCCGGGGTGAGAAGGGTGGAATATAAATGTTTTAAATAAATAAATAATTGATTTTGTTGGAAATTGAAGCCCCAAATATCTGGCAATATCACTAAAATAATGATGCATATCTAGATACAATAGAGCCAGCATGATGACTTTGGGGAACAGGGTTAAAATCTTTGCTCTATCATGGAAACCCACTGGGTGGCCTTGGGCAAGTCACACTCTCTCAGCTTCAGAGTAGGGCAAAGACAACCTCTCTCTGAACAATTTTTTCCAAGAAAAC